CTCCCCGACAGAAGCCCAGAGGAGTAGTCCCCAAGCGTGAGCAGGCATCAGAATTCCCTGGAGGTCGCTGGGCCCCCACTCCCAGAGGTTTTTTTGTTTTGTTTTTGGTTTCTTTTTGAGAGAGAGAGAGCGAGAACACGAGTGGGAGAGGGGCAGAGAGAGAAGGACAGGGAATCAGAGGCAGGCTCTAGGGTCGGGGCTGTCAGCACAGAGCCTGACACAGGGCTTGAACCCTTGAACCGTGAGATCATGACCTGAGCTGAAGTCAGACACTCAACTGACTGAGCCACCCAGATGCCCCCCCCCCCACCAGAGTTTCTGATGCAGCAAGTCAGGATGGGGCCTGGGAATTGGCACTTCTAACAAATTTCTAGGTGTTGCTGATGCTGGACACTAAGCAATGAGAACCAACGGACCAGAGACTTCCTCTCTGATTCCAGACCTGCGCACACAGGGCAAAGTCAAGGGTGCAACCACTCTGCAGAACACCAGGTTGAGTGAGTACCTATGTGCTGACTGGGAGACCCTCAGCCCCTTCTTCCAGGAGGGTCTCAGGATGTCAGCAGTCAGATGCCAAGGTAAGAGATGGAAAGTTTCTTTTCTGAGGGATCTGATTACTCTGGGGGAAAAAATATATCCTATATTGGTAGTTAAGGACCCCCCCCCCCCCCCCCTCGGGCCCCCACAGGGATTCCTTCCCCTGTACAACAGAATCATCTGGGGAGTTTTAAAAAATATGAATGACGAGGCGGGGGGTGCCTGGGTGGCTCAGTCAGTTAAGTGAGGTCGTGATCTCACATCTCACGAGTTCCAGCCCTGTGTTGGGCTTTGTGCCGACAGCTCAGAGCCTGGAGCCTGCTTCAGATTCTGTATCTCCCTTTCTCTCTGCCCTTCCCCCGCTCATGCTCTATCTCTGTCTCTCTCTCAAAAATAAATAAACATTAAAAAAAATTTTTTTTAATATGAATGACAAGATTCCAGCCAATTAAATCAGATACTCCAGGGGTGGGCTTTGGCATTTGTATTGGTTTTAAAGGCCCCTAAGTGATGAACACACAGGAGCAGGGGTGATCACCACGCAATAAACTTATAACTACACACACAGAAATACTTTTGAGTGCTTCACTCTTAAGTATGAATCGGCAGTCACCAAATGTTTGAGGAAGGTCTACTATGAAACTCAGAGACCAAAACAACAGAAGAAGAAGAAAAAAAAAACTCAGAAGAAATAAGTAATGCAAAAAGCAGAAGAAAACTCCAAAAAAAAAGCTATAAGTGATATCTTCAGAGATAAAAGAAGACATTACATTCATGAAAAAAAGAACAGAATGTTACAAAAAGAATGTTCAGAGGGGGGAAAAAGGGCCTCTTGCAAATTAAAAATACTCTGCTGGAAATACAACTTTCAGTAAGAGGTGTGGAGCTTTAGTGGGGGAAATATCCCTTACACAGAACAGAAAAAGGGAGATGGAAATAGGAAGGGTAAGAAAACTAAAACATTAGTCTGAGGGACCCAATACCTGAATAAAAGACATTCCAGAAAGAGAGAACCAAGAAAATTGAGGAGGATTATTAAAGTAATAATTCAATGGGGCGCCTGGGTGGCGCAGTCGGTTAAGCGTCCGACTTCAGCCAGGTCACGATCTCGCGGTCCGTGAGTTCGAGCCCCGCATCGGGCTCCGGGCTGATGGCTCAGAGCCTGGAGCCTGTTTCCGATTCTGTGTCTCCCTCTCTCTCTGCCCCTCCCCCGTTCATGCTCTGTCTCTCTCTGTCCCAAAAATAAATAAACGTTGAAAAAAAAAATAAATAAAGTAATAATTCAAAAGAATGGCCCCCAAAGTAGATGGGTGATTACTTAGAGCTGGTGGGAGCAAATAGGGGACGATGACGAGTGGGTACAAGGTTTGTCTTGGAGGTGATGGAAACGTCCCAAAATTAGATTACGGTGATAGCTGCACAACTCTGTAAATATACTAAAAACTATTGAATTGACTCCTTCCTTTAAGTGGGCAAATTTTATGGAATGTAGATTATATGTCAATAAAGCTGTTTTTCTAAATGTCCCCCAGAAATCCCAGTGCTCAGATTGAGGGGACAACCAAGAGCCCACTGCAAAAATAGACCCACACTAAGGCACGTAATCGTGTACTTTCAAAATACCGGAGACGCAGAGAAATCCCTAAAAGCAAAGCTCCCGAGGAAACAATTCACAAAGAAAGGATCAGGAATTAGAATGGCATCCTATTTCTCAGTAGCGACACTTAACTCTACAAGGCAGTACAGCATCGCCTTCAGATTTCTGAGAAAAACATCATCACCAGCTTGGAACTCGACCTAGCGTAAGGATAAAGAATGGTTGAAATCCATTGGCTAATGCCCAAATGAATGAGGACACGCAAACTTTATTCTGAAAGTCCATAATGCTATACATCTCATTTTGTTAAGGCAAAAGCGTGACTCATGCTCCCGTTGAAGCTGACGTGCAGACGCTGCTGGTCTGCTAGCTGGAGAGACCAGCCAGTGGCCCACCTCCACTTCTCAGGGAGGGTCTGTTGTTTTCCATCTCCATGAATCCAGGGCCTCTCGTAATGTGAAAAATAGCTGGGGTTAAATTGTGAACACGATCCTGAAAAAAGAAAGCCCACAGCCAGCGGTGGCATAGAGTTTAAGAATCCAGGCTATTTAGATTAAATAGCCTGGGTTCAAATCCTGTTGGCATCACTACCTTCTTGTGACTTGGGGCCAGTTACCTAATTAACCACTGAGATTTCACTTCCTCTCCTGTGAAATAGGACTGATGCTATCTGCTCATGGGATTGTTGTGAGGCTTTGGGGAAATGTTGTCTGTCAAGTAGAGGGCATTGTGCCTGGTACAGAGCGATACTCGTTAATTAGTAGTAGTAGTAATAGTAAGACTAGTATTGGTAGTGATAGCAATGAAAAGAGCAGGTCTAATAACGTGATGTAATTGAACGGTTTGGATTTGATAGCACATAAGTGCCAAAGACTTGTACATGCTCAGAGTTCGGTTTGCCCCTTATTATACCGATATTCTTTCAAACGAAAACAAAAACAAACTGTATGTGTTTTTTCGCCCATACTGAGATAGATTTTTCATTCTACTCGTGTTCTTCTGGGAAAAGGCCTAATAGCTTGTATCTCTATCTGTAACTATTTCTGAAACACAGCTTCAAGGTTTGAAAGGCTTCCCTTCCCTTTTTCTCATTGTTAACATCATACTTCCGGCGTCTGGAAAAGATTCAAGCACACAGTTTATACAAGGTGTGATTTGTCGATAGCAGGCATATATATTAAGAGAGGAGCAGAGAGGGAGCGTGAGTTAGGAGATGACCGTATACAGTCATAGCAATTCATGGCTTTGGGGTTTGTCCTTTACCGCATCGCAACACTGAAAACCTCTCAGGCAAAATACCAGGTTAATGTTGTGGAAGCAATTCAGATACAAACGTCTGTCGTCAAGAGGTAACAAAAACACCCCAAAAAAGAGCGAGCGCATCTAAGCATGTGGTTTTCTGTTTGCTTAGCATCTGGCACCCTGGTGCAAGAAGAGAGGATTCCAGGTCAGCCAGAGCAGAGGCACATTCTGAGATGGCTGTGGCAGGGCGTAGCTGTTGTCCTTGGATGGGGATCAGTGAGGGCCTGAGAGGCTGGGAATGGCCACAGACCGGAGCGGTGATATCCCTCCCTTTGGATAGATTTCTGTACCTTTGCTCCACAGAGGGGGCGAAATGCTTTCCCCTGGGGTCTGTGCATGGGCTTGTCCACCATCCATTCATGGCCTCTCAGGAAACATACCGGGCACACTCCCAGCATCAAGAGATTATTCTACACTTGATCTTAGCCAAAAGGCCGAGAAGCGATAAGAGATTATTCTTAAAAGACACATACAACAGAAACTGCTTAAAGGAACACAGACACACACACACACACACACACACACACACACACACACACACACACACTGACCTTCTAACTCACAGGCAGCACTTTAAAACATATGCAGAGAGGGACACCTGGGTGGCTCAGTCTGGTAAGCATCTGACTTCAGCTCAGGTCATAATTTCACGGCTTGTGGGTTTCAGCCCCTTACTGGGCTCTGTGCTGACAGCTCAGAGGCTGGAGCCTGCTTCGGATTCTGTGTCTCCCTCTGTCTCTACCCCTCCCCCACTCACGCTCCCCACCCCCCAAAAATAAATGAACGCTAAAAAATTTTTTTGAACACATGCAGAGATTTCTTAGGTGCTTTGTCATCTGATATCCATTACAACCCTGTGTGGGGTATTACATTTTCTTTCTTACCAATGGAGAAGCCAGAGAGGTAAATGGCCAGCCAAGATTGCATTATTACATATATTCAGTTATTTAATCCTTGTAACAATCCAGCTTTACAGAGAAGGAAACTGGGGCACAAAACGATAAATGGCTGTCTAGAGAGGCTGTGTTACATTCAGGAGAGGTTCTGTGCTCTAAAGGACTGTACTTTGAGTTTCTTTTTTTTTTTTCTACTAAAAGCCAAGGCGCTTTGCCAAATTATTTATGTATTTTTCATAACTGAAGGACTTGTTAACAACCACCAGTGAGATGCCTACTGTGGATGCAACCCTGACTGTGTGGGGCATCATGAGGAACAGATCCAGTGAGAGAAGGGCAATCCTTCGGGCCCATGCCTCCCACTTTGTTGGAGAAGTGAGGCAGTGATGTCTCTATCCAGGCCTTCTCCAAGTGAGGGATATGCCCATTTTTGCCTCCGTTACTTCTTGGAAGTGGAGTCTGTATATCTGCTTCCTGCCACAGAAAGTATTTTTACATTCCTTATGTTGATGTCATGTACCAGGATGCCTCTGATTCCAGTGTTTCAGCCTCCACACATTAGTCTGTGTTCATATCCTGTATTATTTTGGAGACTTCAGCCTGTGCCGTTTGGCCTAAACCTTCTAAGCCAGGGTCCTAACCTGTCCGGTGCCTCTGTCTTTCTGCAGGAATCACTTTGACTCCCTGACTGCTTAGTTGGCTTTCTTTGAGATTCCCTCCAGATCTCTGGCCTTCCTGCTCCCGCCCCGGGTTCCTGCATCCAGAATGGCACCAAGCTCTTCTGTAAAGGTCAGTGTTGAATCCCGTTTTCACTGGGTGAGTTCACCTTCCTCACCTGCTTGATGGATACCACTGGCTTTTGTGCTCAGAGAGAATCTGCACTAAGAACTAGTTCCGTTCTCTTTCTGAGGCTGTTTGACCAAAAGTGGTAATAATTACCTTCAGTGGTTAATTTCCGTCTTTTCTTTCTGTTGAATGGTCAGACTATGCCTCTTTCTGCTCCCCTCTCCAGCCACCATATATTTATTCATTCGTTTAGGAGACCGTGCACCAGGCACCCTGCAAGGAGCTAGAAATACAACAGTGAATAAGATAGCCACAGTCATTGTTGTTTCAGGGAGACTGAATAGCAAACAATTAAAACATAGGACGAACAGCATGGTTGCAGGAGAAGTACAGGAAGTATGAGAAACACAGAGGAGAAACACCTTCCTTACACTGGGGGATCAGGGAAGGCTTCTCAGAGGAGCTGAGTGGTAAGGAGTGAAGGATAAGGAGGAATGAGCAAGTCGGAGGTGCTTGAGGGAGTGGTCACGGGAAGGAAGGGGGCGAGGGCAGAAAGCGTACCCTCCAGACACCCCTCACTTGCCCCACCCCGGGCATGCACGCACACGTGCACAGGCCTGGCACGGCGATGAAATTAAATGGTCTTCCTGTGGTCAGAAGCGAGACATTCAAGAGAAGTGTTGAAAAATGAGACCACAAAGATAAGCAGAGGTCAGACCATGCAAAATTTTATGAGCCATGTTAAGGCAACTGAATGTTATTCTCAGGGCATCGGGAGACCACGATAGGGTTTTAGGCAGGTCAGCCATCGTGTGATTGGATTTGCGTTTTGGAGAGATCCCTGGCTGCAGGTGGAGGGGCCCAGGGAGGAAGGAGGTGATGAGGCAACGTCATCTGCATGAACAAAAGAAGGGTGTGCCACGTGTGTACCTCCAACGTATGCACCTCTCGGCCCCCCCCCCTCCCCGGGCCAGGGCACTTGTCCCTCAGCTGCTTGGGCAGGCGACCATCCCTGTTCTCAGCTGAGTCCCTCCCTGGGAACTGTCCATGGCCCACTGCTCACCAGGGCAGCCACATCCAATGATTGGGCAATGGGACAGTTTCAGGGTTCAGGCCTTGTTGTCTCCAGGCAGGGTGGTCCAGCTCCAGGGCTCCTGTGGAACATGCTGAGGCCTCTGTTTCAACCATAGTGCGGCTCACCTCCTTCCTCCTGCGTCCCTCCACACAGAGTGGTAAAACTGGAAGACTTTCCTGAAGGAGAGTGGGGCTGGGATTGGGGGAGGAGTCCCGGCAAAGCCAATGTCTCCAGCCCTTGAGAGGTTAAGGGCCTAAAGTAATATTATAATGAAATGAATGTTTCCAATGAGGTGAGATGCTTTTTAATGAGTTCTGTTGACACCTTGGCAAAAGACTATGAGAAGCAGAGTGGTGGGGGGGGGGGGCGCGCCTGGGTGGCTCAGTCAGTTGAGTGTCCAACTCTTGATCTCGGCTCGGGTCTTGATCCCAGGGCCATGAGTTTGAGCCCCACGCAGGGCATGAAGCCTCCAGTGCCCCAGAAAGCATTGCATTCTCAACCCCAGCAAGTCTGCCAGGTCCACTCAGGACCTGCGTTGGGAAGGAGGCACCCTGAGGATGGAGATGGGGTCATTCTGGGAGATGCAGTTGAGAACCTTGAAGCCCCAGATCTCTTGAAACCTCGAGACCCTGCCGTGGTGCCCTCCCTCCCCCAGCTAGAAGAGGACTGGAAGACCATGCAGCTATTGTTGCCTCTCGAGGCAATGAATGTGTACCCCTCTCGGGATGGGCCCCTGCCTCCCCTCCCTACACCAGACCAAAACCAGGGGTCGAGTCTTAACACAGTCCAGCTAGGGAAGAGCAAGGCCCGCTGATGACTGAAGGTGACTGTCCTCAGGAGAAGGTACATAAGGACTGGATTCCGGGGCCCTGGACCATCCAGGGAGAGGGGCCCAAGATTGCACACGAGAGAGTTTGTTGATGTGGAAGTGCTTCTATATCCATACACTGCATTTGACCCCTGGGGAAGGCGACAACGTGCCGCGAGGGCTGATCTCAGAAGCTTGGAGAAAGCACTGTTGCACATCAAGTGAGGCAGAAATGTCTGCAGGGCTGAGTTGGGTGAGGAGGAAAGGCTCCGAAGGGGACACTCCTCAGTTTGCTTCCCGCACGCAGAAACTCTGCTGAAGGCCAACAGCTTCAGGTGGCTGGGAAGGTGTGCTCATTTGAATAGCTCCTGATGAGTTGGCCTCCACTCTCCCCTTTTTTTTTGTTTTTTTGGAAAGTTTTTAATTTACAAGAAACTCTATCTCAGTTCGCTTGAGGAAAATGCCTTTTGTGGCTCATGATCATTCTGAATACGAAGTATTTACTTAGGAAATTTTCTTTCCTGAGAGAACTTAGTAAGCAGATTGTTCCATTTTTCTTTTTCAGAGAAAGCTCTCTGCCATATCTTTCTTGAGAACAAATTTGCTTAATTCTTATCTTCCTGGCTGGTGAAAAGGTTTACCCTGGATAGCATCGCTGCTTGGTTTTCATTATTCTATTTTCCAGGCTGGGCCGTGTAATTTCTCTCCTTGTAATTTTCCTTGGTGTGCTGTGTGAACCACATACTAAACTTCTGTTGAGTCATTTCCTATTAGTTAGGCTTTTGGGTAACATTTAATTTTACCAATGGCATTTTATTTATTTTTTTTTATTTTTTAATGTTAACTCCACCATAGTTAATGTACAGTGTTATATTAGTTTCAGGTGTACAATATAGCAATTTAACAATTCTATATATTCCTCAGTGCTCATCGTGATAAGTGTCCTCTTATACACTTAGTCCCCGTCACGTATTTCACTCACCCACCTCCCCTCTGGTAACCACCAGTTTGTCCTCCAGAGTTAAGAATCTATTTCTTGGTTGGTCTCTCTCTCTCTCTCTTTTCCTTTGCTCATTTATTTTGTTGGTTAAATTCCACATATGAGCAAAATCATATGGTATTTGTCTTTCTCTGATTTATTTCACCCAGCATTGTACTCTCTAGATCCATCGATGATGTTGCAAATGGCAAGATTTCATTCCTTTTTATGGCTGAATAATATTCCATTGCATGCGTGTGCGTGTGTGTGTGTGTGTGTGTGTGTAGAGAGAGAGACACCACATCGTCATTCACTCATCTGCCAACGGTGTTGTAGGCTACATCAAACAGTAATAAACCCTATACAACAACCCCACAATGTTAACAGACGCTTAAAGAGCAATTACTCTGCATCAGGCGCTCTTCTCAGGGCTTTCCATGAGCAGCTCATTACTTCCTCACAGCAGCCTTTTCTGTAGAACCACCATCCCCCAGACAAGGAAGCTCAATGGTTAAGGAACCTCTCGTGATAAAAGGTGGACAAATTGGGAAGCTCGTCTCCAGGTTCTAGATATAGAAACTGAGCCACAGAGGCCATGAGGTCTGTCTGGGAACCCTGTCCACAATGGGCGGCTCAGCCTTCCCCAGGCAGTCCTGGTCAGGTGGGGCTTGGTGTCCATACATCCAAAGGTTTGGGACTTAGAAGTCTAGCAATTTCCATTGCTGAGCCCCCAACACATAATGAGGCAGGCTTTATGAGGTCACCAGCCATAGGTGGAAATTTAGGTAACTTGGGTTCTAGCCCTGCCCAGGAACAAGTAACTTTTCCCCCCTGGGACTCGGTCGGTCTCTGCATCCATAAAAAGAGGGCATAGACCAGATCAGGAATTGCACATTAGTGGCCTGTGGGACCCTTGAAGCCCACAGATGTGTTTTATTTAGGCTGCATGTTCCGTTTCTTTTCGATTTGGTTTTTCATTGTATTAAATTTGCATTCCTTTAAGATGGCCAGTTGAGACACTGGCCCCACAACTCCTTATTGTCTTAAGCCTGATTTACATGTTTACACGCCCACCTGGCACATATCTCAGCAGGCTGTTGAGATTGCCGATCTGGGATGAAATTATCTCTGAGGCCCTTGCCAATTGTGTTTATTTCCCCCCAGGAACTCCCTAAGGAGATTCGAGGGCCTAGGAGGGCAGAGTAAGCGAGGCAACCAGAGTGGTTTGCTGGCCCTGCGTGTTCTTAGTGCCCTGGGATCATAGACACTTGGCTGGCCTTGCCCACTACCGCCCACCCCACAGAGCCAAGGAGGGTGCAGCACTGATGCGTTTTCGCAGGGAAGGAAGGAGGAAGCGGGTGCCATGTTCCGCTCGCATTCACAGACTGGGAGGGATGGTCGGCACGCCCGTGAGGGGAGGGAAACATCAGCAGCCAGCAGAAACAAGGACCTGTACTTTTTGGCAGGGTCTACCATTGCAGTTACCCACACTGGGGCAAGTGGGACTTGCCTGTGGCTGCAAACCTGTTCCCCTGGGAGCAGATCAGCCTTGACTGCGCTAAGCGTCTACCTTGACAGATCCAGCTCACTGCTCTCTTTCGCTGTCTGTGGTTGTCATAGTTACAAGGCTTCACTGCCCCTGATTCCCCCTCTTTGTGATGAAGGGGCTCAAACTTACTTCTTACTGGGACCAAGAAGCCAGCTGCCAGGTGCATACATGGAGTTCACCCTGGGATTGCGCGGCCAGTGCCAGTTTGGCTCCCAAATGTCCCAGAGAGTAAGGAGGGCCCAGTTCCTTCGACATGTGTGAATGACCTTGACTTTCTTCCTTGTGGTCCCCCTTCACTTACTTATTCCATGCCCAGCTCTGTGACTGACACAATCAGGGCTGGTATTATCCCTCAAACAATATGACATTTCAAAACACCCAGGCATCAGGTGGACCGAGATAATGTCAGGGAAGCTCAATAGGGTTCCTCTCAGGCCCTAATGAGAAACACAAAGGAGCAAATTATGGAGACTTTCTGTGGAGCCTTCTGGTGAGTGCAGGAAGGGGGTGGGGAAAAAAATCCATTCAGTAATAAGAGCCTTTTTGAGAGGAACTAGTGTTATCCGTCGGCTCTTGAATCCAGATTGAGTTT